ACTAGTAGCCCTATAATAATTTAGTTTATTCTATGTTTATTACAGTATCTAATTCAAATTTCTAAGATTGGAATATTGAGTAGGTAATCCAATCGGTAATTGATATATACTTGACACCTCTGTTAAGTGTCATAAAAAGTATTTTCTTATGGCACAATTTGATACATTTATTTTCAGCAGGAATTTTTGGGCAAGTAATGAATTATTGAAATGTATTTTACCAGAAAACGGATCATACTATTAAAGTCTAACGAGAGTACTTTTTTAATGTAAAATATGATAAATTTTCTAACTATCGAATCACGGGCTGAAGAGACTCCACCAAAGTGCGATTAAATGATAATATGTCAAGTTCTCAAGGATTCAAGGATCAATTCTAGATCCTCTTTTTTACCATTTATGCTGATAATCCAAATTAATTTCAAACTTCTAATTAACTTCAAAGTCCGAAAAACATTGAGTATCAGTAAAAAATCATAACAATGTTATGATTTTTATAAAGATCCACTATACCAAAATTTGATAGTCAAACATCTTGGTGGAATAATATGTAGATAAAATTATACAAAAATGGTACTGAATATTATAAGCTACATATACTATAAATCTGCTAAAATTGTAGTAATGCTTTGTGAAAGCTTAATTTTATCACCATTAAATTATATTTAATCTGGACTTTACACTAACAAATTGTATAAACAATAGAAAAGTTGTGAACCTTTTGCCATAGATTCGGAAAGAAAACATCAATGAACACCCTATCAACTCCTACAAGTTAAATGGATTAATGTGGATGCGACCACTTTTTTTTTTCACTTCGACTCCAAAACCACTTAATTTTTTTACTTTCAACTGATGCACTTTTTTACTCAAAGTTAGTCTAGTTTGAATTATTTTATGTCCAAATTACAGTAAGGTGTAACCAGCATCTCTTACTAACACACTAAAAATGAAAACTATTTTATATCCAGAGGAACTACTGAATATTTCTATGTGACTGATGGTATCGCTAGAATTCCAAAATAAGGATTATTCTAACACCCTATAGTTTAAAAAGGAACAGTATTTTGTCTTCAGGAACCCCATTAAGCCGTTTTTCTTTTTTAATGATGCATCCTTTATATGCACCATTCGATTTAAATTAAAATAACGTCATTTGTTAGCTCCTTTCATTAATTTCATCATATACTTTTCCTCGACTGTTGTATATAAAAATATATATTCACATCATATATATTGTCAACAACATATGAATGGAAAAACATGATAAAAATTTAATGAAAAAGTTATGAATCAATGTCAGTCAATATTTAAGGTCCTTTTAACTTTAACTACACTACAGTCCTTAAATCTTAAAAAAAAATCTGCAAATATAGCTTCTCGTCGTCCAGGAACCATCCAATTTTTCTGAACATCCATACTAAATTCAGTCTCCCCCGCAAATATTATATCGCATGATTATGTATCCGAGTAAAAAGTGGTAGCATGCCAGGAGCTATAAAATTAGATGTTGCTTTCCGTAGAGGATAATGTTAACAAAATACAAACCGTCCCCTACTAAACCCCTACCCTCAAATTTATTACCGCCTTTATGTGTCCTCTTTTATTTATAAAACAAAACTTTCTACTTTCCTGGTCGTAAAGTTGCCTTCCTGCAATTCTTGGAGTTGTGGGGAGGAAACAGGAAGCTAGTAATATTTTTCGGTTTGTTCGGTGACTCACCTGGAAAGTTGGGAGTAGTGAAAATCGGTCGCTAAACAACAAGAAATGAGTTATTAGGCTGTTAAATGAAGTCAGACTGAATACATAATCACTCGTCGGGATAACACGAACATGTTGGAAGGGGTTCAGACCCCTTGCGACATGTCTCAAGACATTTTCATAATGAAACTATAAAATGAAATCCATTCACTTAAAGAGGTTACATTTTTAACTGGACAATTTGGTAATTTGTTGACACATTTTATTGTTTTATTTTGATATACCTGCATGTTCTTCATCTTCTATTTTTGTCTGCTGCATAATGTACTTCTATAGATTTCATATAATGACTGCGACGACCTGAATTCCGTAACTGTTACCATATATCATAACATTCAATTGTCAAAGGATTATACAATTGAACACTTTCCGGGATCATGTCGTTGCTTGATTTAAACTTCTCGACATTTCAAGAGACATACAGCTCTCTTCTTCAGAAGAAACTCGGAAATTTTAATTGCTTCCCATTCTGTTGAGCCGTTATTGCGTATTACAGCTATGTTTGTTTTGTTTTTTTTCTTTATTAATCTTAAATTAAATATTAAAGACAAATAATTCTTGAATTTAACAGAAATGAGAATTTTGATTTGGGAACTTGGATGTGGAATAATTCTCTTCAATTAGTCATTTTGTATATCTTTTCAAATAAGAATTTTCTATATCTTTGATATCAGAAATGTGCCTTAGTTGCACTACCCATATGAAATAGTTTAATATACAGAGAGATATTTAATTTTAGTTGTTTTCGAGTTGTTTTCTTAACTGACATTGCCCAATCATAACCACGCTTGAAAGTGAAAGAATCGCAACTGTTTCTTTATCTAAAAATTTTTTGAACGTATGAAGAGACAGGTGGTTATAAGGGCTATAAGCCCCAACTTGAATTATACCACGCTAATACGTACTAAACACGTACCAATAAATAATAATTATCCAAAATAAAAAATAAAAATGATGTCTATATACAGGGTCATCCAGGTTTCTCCCGGTATGGCAGAAAAACTTTCGAAGAAAGCATTTTGAGAAAAAATGTTTCAGGCAAAAGTGTAAGGATTTTTCCCTGGCTATCTGATGGTGACCTTGAATTTGACCTTGACTTTAACCTTCAAGGCCATTTGAAGGTCAAGTTAAGTTTTTTAAATGGAAATCCCTATTTTTATTGGGGATTTGGAAAGAGCTGGGAATTTTACGTCCAAATATGGTCTTGACCATGACTTTGGCAATGACCTTCAAGGTCAAATGTGGGTCGACTTCCAAAAGTCTCGGTACGGCAGAACTTTCGAAGAATTCATTTTGGGAAAAAATGTTTCAGACAAATGTGTAAGGATTTTTCCCTGGCTATCATATGGTGACCTTGGATTTGACCTTGACTTTGACATTCAAGGTCTTTTGAAGGTCAAAATTTTTTAAATGAGAACCCCTATTTTTTATTGCGGATTTGGAAAGAGCAAGGTCTTTGTCAAAGTCATGGTCAATACCACTTTTGGACGTAAAATTTCCTGCTCTTTCCAAACCCGCAATAAAAAATAGGAGTTTCCATTTAAAAAACTTAACTTGTCTTTCAAATGGGTGCCTCAATATGTAATTGAGAGGAAAATAATTGTAGATACTTATTCTTTAATTGATTAGTTTGAGTCGTAAAATTTATTATATTAAAATAAATATATTTTCAAATACTGTTGAAGCAATTTAACCAGATAAATTAATAAGTAACAGTTATATAAGAAAGTATTTTTCGTTCTAGCATACTAAAGTGTCGTTTTGACAAAGATTTTAAATGTCAACATTTCATGACAGTTTCCGAAAATTTTGAATCATAGCTAATTTATTAGTAACAGAACATACTGTGAAGAAAAAGTGTAGTAATTTATTAAAGTATACCTATAACAGACGTCAACGAAAAATAATTAAAAGTACAGAGCATAACGAAGTATGGTTACTTGAAATAAAATAATGGAGAATTGTTTTAAATATGAAATAAAGGGGGTTTTTAAAGATAACTCAAAAGGGGTAAGAGCTAGAAAAAAAGTTTCGTATAAAAGTTGTAGAGCATAAAATTCTACATAAAAATGGTAAATTGACTTTTTCTTGTACTATTAAAATTAATATAATTAGGGAGACTAGAAGTTAAGCGATGATTTCAGAAATTTAAAAAATCATAAGCAGAAAAATGAACGAATTTTATACATTTTTTTCAATCTACTCTAAAAAATGTAAACTATCTTTTCAGAAAAATAGACATATTTTTTAATTTTTAATAAAAAAGTTATAACAATTTCACAAACCGAACGTGATTTTTTATCTTTGTCGTAAAACAAAATTCCAAAAGCAACTTTTCATTATTTTAAATAATCAATCGGATGGTATAGAAAAAAATTGTTTTAATGTTAAATCATAAAAATTAACTATTAAAAAATTGAAATTGTTATACCTTTTTTATTAAAAATCAAAAAATACATCTATTTCTCTCAGAAAAAAGTTTACATTTTTTAGAGTAGATTGAAAAAATATATATAAAATTCATAATTTTTTCTGCTTATGATTTTTTAAATTTCTGAAATCATCCCTTAACTTCTAGCCACCCTAACTCTGTTAATTTTAATAGTACAAGAAAAAGTCAATAGACTATTTTTGTGTAGAATTTTATGCTCTACAACTTTTTCTAACTCTTACCACTTTCAAGTTATCTTGAAAAACACCTTTATTTTATATTTTTTCACCCCTGTCCGGGGGTTGAAAAAAAATTACTATCACTTATTGTTATTATGTACTAACTTATATAAAAAGTTCAGGCAAGTTGACCCAATTGCGATTTAGACGCCAATTTAATTGGACTATTATCTAATTCTACCGGTAGTGCTTATAAGAACCTACTAAATTAATTTTGTAATTAAAATTTAACAGTTAGGCATCATCTAACTGTTTTTTTTTCTCAAATTAAGGCAATAGAAATTAATGTATTATAATATCAAAGTGTGATCTTATCAAACGAATTGTGAGCTAAGTACTGAATCTTTACTCTGATTTGTTTGTTTACGTTTTGTTTTTATTTGTATTCCACGACTATCCGTACACACATTATAAATCAGTTTGTATATGAATCGCCCCACTTACTGGTGCTTATCGATAACGGTTGGCAGTCCCGAGCCTTCGTAACAAGATTTACAACAACTTATCCAGAATTATGACCTGAGGAGGAGTAAAATATTGTTACCGGAGAGTTATTTGTTTGTTTTCAGGAAAGGGGCGCCTGTATCCAGCGTATAGCCTGAGCGGATCAGAAGGAGAGGACTCGCCGCGCAGATACGGCTCCCAGCACACGTACCAGCACCCTCTCTATCAACAGCCCGCAGGCCTCAGCGACACCCCCACCTCCGAGAACGCTTCGGACGCCACCCTCACCGATTCCGAGCTGGCTCTGGCCAGGGATTCCACACTGCTCGTACACAACGGTGAGTGGAGTATTTACGTTTGTTTAGGAGGCGTCCTCGTAGATAATCTGACCTGGTTTTCCGAGGTGCCTCAGGGATCCGTTTTAAGCCCACTAGTTTTTTATGTAAAATTACACATTAGATCAATGGTTGCTCTCACAAAACACTATTATCGTAAATGTAAATTTACAAATCAATTTATATTACGATTTTATTTACGATACCCGAAGCGTAATTGTACTAAGAGACAGAGACCTTACAGTATTGAAAAAGTAAGAAGAACTGCGGTATAACGTTTCTATAAACAATATACTTTTTTCATATTTTTATTTTTCGATGCTGGCTAAATAAAGAAAAAAATAATAAATTAGAAGGATTTGTAAATGCAGTAAATGATACATATTCCCTGATGTGAAATACAAATTTTTGTTTTATTCATCTTTATGAATACAATAATATGGATTGTGGTTTATAAAATTAATTAAACAGGTTTCTTAAAATAATAGTACAATGAAAAACTCTACCAACAAATGATGTCCTCAAATTGGATGGATGTTTTTATGCCGATTTGAACAAAATCACTTTATACAAAAACGCTTCCTAAGGCAGCTAGGGCCCTATGAATATATGGCGCCTTGCATTCAATTTTTTCAAAATATCTTCAAAACGTCTTTAATTAAAAAAAACAAATTTTATTATTCTCATTATTTTTTTAGATGTACAGTGTGATTCACTACATTTTGACCCTCCATTAACTTTTTTGTTTTTAGAGTTATAAAAAAAATGTGAAATACAAAAGTTGCACGATTTTTTATGAGTTTTTCGGAAATGATAGTAGAGAAATAAATGAAGTCCAAACAAAATGGCCACGGATGTTGACTTTGTTAATTTAAATGGAATACCCTGTATATTTTTAAATATTTGTATAGAACGTTCTCTGTCGAGCATAGGGTTTGTTGGGTCCATTTCTAACAATAAGCGAGATACCATTAAAAAAAAAGTAAAGAAGGTTTTTTTATTAAGAAAATAAGATATCTTGTAATTGTTAGACTTATTTGAAGAATTTCCGTCTTTTTTCCAATTACATAAAGATTTACATTGATATGGTCCACAATGCTTAGGTATAGGTATTTTAACTAAATCTCACTAATTAAGCCCTGAGAGGCCTAATTACTCATGGACAATGTTATATGGTAACAATTATTACAAGAGATCTTACTTTCTTAATAAAAAATCTGCTTTTCTTTTTTAATAGTATCTCGCTTATTGTTAGATATGGACCCAACAAACCCTATATGACTATGCTCGACAAATAACGTTCTATCCAAGTATGTAAAAATATACAGGGTGTTCCATTTAAATTAACAAAGTTAACATCCGCGGCCATTTTGTTTGGACTTCATTTGTTTTTCAAATATCATTTTTGAAAAATTCATAAAAGATCGTGCAACTTTTGTATTCTTAAAACAAAAAAGTTAAAAGAGGGGTCAAAATATAGTGAATCACCCTGTACATACTGTAAATATGAATTTTTAATTATGAACATTTTATTTGGAGGGGCCTACGGATATTTTGAATCGTAATGTTTTTTATCTTCGATCTTTTATGTTTATACTGACGCTGACGCCAGATTTAGAAAATGTGTTTTTTCATTAACTCTCGAAAAAAAATATATTTAAGATTTTCGTGTTTCCTTGCACATTGCTAAATTCATTTAAAAAAATAAAAGCTGATTTTTTAGTCTGGCAAAATAATACTGTATGGTTTTTATGTCAAACAATTTTTAATGTTTTGTTGAAAGCTTTTTTGAAATTTTGCTTTTAATAAACCAAAATTTATTTTTTCCGCAAATGACAAAGTAGTTTAATAATAAAAAATGACAATAAAATGAATGACAATAAGGGCAAAATAAACCAAAACTACAAAAGATGACCCATATGATCCATTAGTTTCAATACATACATTTATTCTTTTATTTAAAAATCGTCGAGTTCTTGAAAAAAATCCACTATTGTTCCTCAATTTATTGCAGGTAAATCAGCATAAAAACATCCACTGAATTTGGGGCTATTGTCGTAGAGTTTCTGGACACCCTGTACATTATACAATTTCTGTAAAGAACGAAATTACCTACTTGTTTAAATGATAAAATATTGTATCTGGCACTTATTTTTCACACGGTATTTTACAAACAATAAATACTGAAACCAATTTTTAGACTTTTTTTATAAAACTAGTTTCTAAGTTAAAATAATTAAGTTATTCACAAAACATTCTTCATTTATTTCTTTGGGGAAAGCTGAATCATTCATTTAAAATAAGACTTGACAAAACTTGTGAATACTAACATTTTGACATGTTAAGTGCATTAATATCAAGAGACGTAATTCACAATGACAATAAAAGACTGCTACATACATAATTCTGGAAAAATAGGAAAAAATTTCACATTATTCAAATACATAATAGTAATAATAATATTAATATTAATAATATATCTACTCCTCATTCTAATTGCAAGGATTCGCCCAGAAGTCAGAGACTTGTGCGGGAGAGAAGGTGGCATATTATTATTCAGTAATCCGCATGTGCGCCCAGGAAAGACTTAGATACGTTGGTAAGCTCTAACCACCATTCAGTGCAGGAATGCGAAAATCTGGAAAACCTCTTTAATTAGGGGGATGATCAAACGCCGATCCATATCAATCTCTCACATTGACTCGAGCCAACGTTCTTCCATCCTACAATACCCACAAAGAGTGTGCCTAATTCCTCTCTACAAATATAGCTGATCTATGGTGGGGATCGAACCCGCGACAGTGGCAATCATCCATTCAAGTATTGACGACTCAAACCGGTCGGCCACCGACCGGTTATCGATTTTTAATCAAATGAGAGTATAGGGAATTATTCTCTATATAATTGTATAATTTTGTAAAATTTTTCTCTCCAAGTATATAGAAAGGAATTACAATAGTATATGCTTTGATTAACCTAAATAGAGTTTTTATGAAAATAGCCTTCTATTAGGTTAATACCTTAAAAAGGGGTTATTGTTAATTCCTAGCCCAACCAAGACTTTGTCTAACGTATTATATTTATGACAAGCTAATTTTTAAATGGGTATAAAAGTTACATATCCTCTTGATATTATAACTTTTAGGTCTAATTAGGTATTTTGAACTTTGCTGGCTCATACTTTACTATTTTATGTTCTATTTTATCATGTAGGCCCTTTTGTGTTAGATTATTTTTTATTTAACTACCTAAATAGAAACTTTAAAATATCTTACTCTTGTTAAAATAACCTTAAAAATAAGGTTGTTTCATGTTTGTGTTTGCTAAAGATTTTCAAGATAATTGTAATAATACCCTGATCCCATCAAATTACACAAATACATACACAATAAATTTAAAAACATTTTTTTCCTAATACAGTTTTATTGCATTAATCAAGTGATTATTTTCCCATTCTACTTGATAATAAGATGCACGTTAAGATTAGTTTCAATCTTCCGTAACGTTATCTTAAGATTTATTAGGGTTTATCAAATGACCTGCTTTGGGGTTCATGGTATTTTATTATCTCGTGAAGGGCTTAAGTAACGCTGGTATTTCTGTCCTATTTGATCATCCCCTTTAATTTATTTGGTAGATCTGTTTGTAGCTTAACGCAGTAATTTGGAGATCCATACCCAGCTCGTTTAGGAACCACATTTTATCTCACCTAACCTAAGGCAACGGTAAACAAAAATAAAAATATATTTCAATAATATAACTACAAATTGCTAAACGTCGACTAGATCAGTAAATACAGAGCGTTTTGCTAATTAACCTCATTAGATAAAATCAGTTCAAAAGTTATGAACAAATGAATACTGTAAAAAATTAAAAGAGAAACAAAAATGTCCATTGACAAGAATGATACACTAATTACACAGGCCCACAAAAGAAAGTTCAATCCCAGGAAACATACATATCATGTCCGAAGGAATTCGATGCGAATTTCGGAGAAATGTAAGTGAAATTTTTGGATGAAAACGCCCAGAACAGACTTTTTCCTAAATTTTGTCCAAATATATAATTTTCCTAATATTTTGAGGCGTAAATATGTAAAGTGTGCATTGTATCTACACGGAAAATAATATCTTGTGAAAAATTACTATATTACTGTGGCGTAACAAAAATCTCATACCATTTGAATATTTTGAAAATTTTCTATAAAAAATTCTAAATGAAATCAATAACCTGGTAAAATATGTTTTAGCAAATATTTTCACAATATACAGTACGCGCCTAAAGTATGGAATAAGTTCAGTAAAAACGAAACAAATTTTTTTGGGGAAAAATCCTCGAACAGGACGATTTTTAATTTAAAAAACACATATTTTGGCATAAAACGCGATTTTCAATCGTCATTTGTTTTCGAGTAAATGACGATTGAATGTTAGAAAATGTTAAATTTTATTCATTAAAAAAATAACAATTCCTGTGTCAAGCAAATACAATTCATTAAGTTTTCTACCTAAATTAAGTGTTCGAATTGCCACCCACCGACTTCTTGACTATACGCAAGTCTGTGTAGAAATTCTTCTTGCACCTTATGAATTATTTCTGAGGTAACTCTGTGTATTATTTCATCTATAATACAATTTTGGAGTTCTTCTAAATTATGTGGTCTATGAACGTACACTTTGGACTTTAAGTTGCCCCATAAGAAATAGTCCAGGGGTATAGATCTGGGGATCTCGTGGGCCATTCTATCGGTCCTCGTCTGCCGATCCACCTCCTAGGAAAACAATTGTCCAGAAAATCTCGAACAGGGCGCGCATAGTGCGGAAGTGCACCGTTCTGCTGAAACCATATGGTGTCATCAGGAATATCAGGGTCATTATCGTTAGGAAAAATTACTGCAAGGGCTGGAACAAGGTCATTTTGTAAAAACTCTAAATATCTTTCTCCTGTAAGGGTTCCTTCAAAGAAGAAAGGCCCTACTATTCTGTTGTCAACTATTCCAGCCC